ACCTAAGTTGCAGTATTCGATTGAAGGGGTTGTAAATTTTGTGGTCGGTCAAATATTTATATTTCCTTAATGAATTAAATTAAAATGAACTGCAAGCAACCCCTCAGTTGCCAAGTATAAGTAAAATCTCGTCCCGTATTAGAAATTCGTAAGTTTTAAGAAAATTCGGTCCAACCTAAGTTGCAGTATTCGATTGAAGGGGTTGTAAATTATGTGGTGAGTCAAATATTTATATTTCCTTAATGAATTTAATTAAAAAGAACTACAACCAACCCCTCATTTGCCAAGTATAAGTAAAATCTAGTCCCCTATTAGAAATTCGTAAGTTTTATGAAATTTCGCTCCTACCTAAGTTGCAGTATTCGATTGAAGGGGTTGTAAATTTTGTGGTCGGTCGAATATTTATATTTCCTTAATGAATTAAATTATAAAGAACTACAAGCAACCCCTCATTTGCCAAGTATAAGTAAAATCTCGTCCCGTATTAGAAATTCGTAAGTTTTAAGAAAATTCGGTCCTACCTAAGTTGCAGTATTCGATTGAAGGGGTTGTAAATTTTGTGGTAAGTCAAATAGTTATATTTCCTTAATGAATTAAATTAAAATGAACTACAAGCAACCCCTCAGTTGCCAAGTATAAGTAAAATCTCGTCCCCTATTAGAAATTCGTAAGTTTTATGAAAATTCGCTCCTACCTAAGTTGCAGTATTCGATTGAAGGGGTTGTAAATTTTGTGGTCGGTCGAATATTTATATTTCCTTAATGAATTAAATTAAAAAGAACTACAAGCAACCCCTCATTTGCCAAGTATAAGTAAAATCTCGTCCCCTATTAGAAATTCGTATGTTTTATGAAAATTCGCTCCTACCTAAGTTGCAGTATTCGATTGAAGGGGTTGTAAATTTTGTGGTCGGTCAAATATTTATATTTCCTTAATGAATTAAATTAAAAAGAACTACAAGCAACCCCTCAGTTGCCAAGTATAAGTAAAATCTCGTCCCGTATTAGAAATTCGTAAGTTTAATGAAAATTCGCTCCTACCTAAGTTGCAGTATTCGATTGAAGGGGTTGTAAATTTTGTGGTAAGTCAAATATTTATATTTCCTTAATGAATTAAATTAAAAAGAACTACAAGCAACCCCTCATTTGCCAAGTATAAGTAAAATCTCGTCCCCTAGAAATTCGTAAGTTTTATGAAAATTCGCTCCTACCTAAGTTGCAGTATTCGATTGAAGGGGTTGTAAATTTTGTGGTAAGTCAAATAGTTATATTTCCTTAATGAATTAAATTATAAAGAACTACAAGCAATCCCTCATTTGCCAAGTATAAGTAAAATCTCCTCCCCTATTAGAAATTCGTAAGTTTTATGAAAATTCGCTCCTACCTAAGTTGCAGTATTCGATTGAAGGGGTTGTAAATTTTGTGGTAAGTCAAATAGTTATATTTCCTTAATGAGGAATCAATACGTGTCTACGATTACACCGGACACTACTAGCAAGGAAGTGTGGAAAAAGGTTGGAGCCGTATCAGGTAAAATTGGTTGCAATAGTCTGGCCTTCTTGCGAGATTCAGAGGGACAAATCACAAATAAACCAGAGGATATATCGGATATCATAGCAACCCAATTTTACCAAGTTAGTAGCTCCAAAAATTATGCGGATACATTTCTTCACACTAAACAACATAAAGAATCCATTCCTATTATTTTTGATACTAACGAAAACTTAAATTATAATACTCCGTTTACCTTAGAAGAGTTGAATATCGCTATCCGTAACACCAAGTTATGTTCACCGGGAGAAGACGAAATCCACAACCAGATGTTTCATCACTGTACTCCTGAAATGCAACAAAGTATATTAAATTTCTTTAATAATTGTTGGAATGAACATACTTACCCCTCGGAATGGAAACAGGCCGTTGTCATTCCTATACCGAAACCTGGAAAAGATCCGTTGCTGGCACAAAGTTATCGCCCAATTAGTTTAACGTCTTGCTTGGGAAAACTGCTAGAGAAAATGGTTAATGTGCGGCTGCAAACATTTCTTGAAGATAATAATATATACGTACCTTATCAAACGGGTTTTCGGAAGGGACGGGCAACGGCTGACCATTTGGTCAAATTGACCGATAGAATTCTGAGTGCATTTGACAGTGGTGAACACCTGCTTGCGGTTTTCTTTGATATAAAGGGCGCTTACGACATGACTTGGTGATATGGAATATTGCAGAATATGTATAAATACAATCTTCGAGGGAAGTTACCAAAATTTATACAATCCTTTCTAGAGAACAGAAAGTTTGTTGTAAGAATCGGTGACATCCACTCAAAAGAGTATGTTTTAGAAAATGGTGTGCCGCAGGGGTCAACACTTAGCTGTTCCCTGTTTGGCATCGCCATAAACGAAATAGCTAAAGGTGTTGAGGGGATGATTGATAAATGCTTGTATGTTGATGATTTAATGGTTTGTTGTTCTGGTAAGACGGTCGGTGCAATAACTCGAAGTCTACAAGTGGCCATAAACAAAATCTGTAGTAACGCCAATGCGGTCGGGTTTGTGCTGTCGGAGGAAAAGACAAAGGCTGTCCACTTTTGCCGACTCCGTAGACCGCACTATGATCCTGTGCTACTAATGAATGATCGTGTAATCAGTGTTGTTCAGGAAGTCAAGTTTCTCGGGCTTACCTTTGACAGGGAATTACGGTGGTCAAAGCATTTAAATAATGTTACTGCTACATGTAGAAAATCGCTGAACATCATCAGAGTTCTCGCTCATCATAGGTGGGGAGCTCACCCTAAGACCCTACTGGATATATATAAGGCTCTCATCCTATCAAGGATGGATTATGGATGTGCAGTGCAGCGTACTCTACGTGTGGCAATAATGCTTTGCTTGGGGAACTTGATAAGATTCAGAACCTGGCTATTCGATATTCTTTGGGAGCATATCCAAAAAGTCCAGTTCCATCGCTCTACGTCGAGGCAAATATTCCCCCTCTAGCTCTTCGCCGGAAACAGATTGTTGCAAACTACTATATAAAAGTAAGGTTAGATGATAAACATCCAAATTTTAGATCTCTTACTGATGCGACTACCATTGCTCGTCTATACAGATGTAGATCGTTAGGTGTTAGGGCTAGAGAGGTATTAAACCACCTCCAATTGGAGAATATTGACTTCACGAGTATGTCATCTACTGCACGGCGTGGACTTGTGAAAAGTAAAATCTATGAGCGGTGGAGTGAGCAGTGGTCGGAGTCTGATACGGCTTTGAAAAGGATCAAACCTAGTCTGGATCCGCTATTCTATATCGACGTTAGACGTTTGAACTTGATCAGGCTGTACAGACTCCGTCTGGGGCATACTGCTCTCACTCAGGGGTATTTGTTGGCAGGTGAAGAACGGCCATTATGCGAACAATGTGGTGTTAATTTAACACCACATCACATTATTTCTATTTGTCCGCAGTATATGAATGTACGTGTGATATTTAATATAAACCCGATATGGGAAAATAACTTCAAAAATGAAGAGCAATGTAAAAATACTCTCGCGTTCATCCAACAAATTGGCATTGCAAACCATCTGTGATATTTTTAAATTTTTGTCTTTATGTATATTTGTGTAGTAAATAAGTAAATGTAATCACGCCTGTCTTGTGTTGTGTGTTCAGAAACTGTGATATTATAGTACCTTAGTGTAAGTATAAAGGCTAATGGCCATAGATGCCGAAGCCTCAGGTGGGGTTTTAGTGGGTATACCCAGATAATGGGAGAGTCCCACACTACTCCGGACTTCTATCCGGAGTGTGCGTAATGCATTTCCCCACCTGTCAAAAAAAAAAAAAAAAAAAAANACCGGGATCACTCCATGGCCTTACCCCCTCCATTTCCAAAAAATCGGTGACAATCCAAGTGAGTTAACTAAACAAAAATCATCAGAAGCAATAAAGGTGGAAGTATTTGACGCACCCTGTGTTCCATGCCAATCTGGTGTTGACCATCTGCACTTTATGTTGAGAATCTCATAAATGAAAAAGCGATGACATCATCTACCAATTAGGGTACTTCTCGGACAGCACCGGGATCACTCCATGGCCTTACCCCTTCCATTTCCAAGAAATCGGTGACAATCCAAGTGAGTTAACTAATCAAAAATCATCAGAAGCAATAAAGGTGGAAGTATTTGACGCACCCTGTGTTCCATGCCAATCTGGTGTTGACCATCTGCACTTTATGTTGAGAATCTCATAAATGAAAAAGCGATGACCTCATCTACCAATTAGGGTACTTCCCGGACAGCACCGGTATCATTCCATGACCTTACCCCCTAAATTTCCAAGAAATGGGCGACCATCCAAGTGTTTGAGATATAATACAAACTTTAATTTTTTTAAATGGTAGTTATAGATGGCTTTTATATTTTTAAAAAGGACAAATTTTTCTCTTTATAATGATATAAGGCTTGCTAATCTTATTCCTGTTCATATTAAGGAATTACCGAATCCAAATTTAAATGTGTCGTTAAAAAATTCCTAACTGAACATGCTTTTTACACCCTGGATGAATTTGAGGATCATGCGAAACTTACAAACATGTTAGATGTAAGTTAGTAGTGTGATTTAGTGTTGATGTATTATTGTTTATTTGTTATGTTTTTGACTTGTTATGTTATATACACTTTTCCATGTAAACCTTTTTTGACAATTGTAAGTGCTTTACACCCTAACATGAACATGAATAAATAAATAATTAAATAAATGTACTTTAATAAATAAACGCCCTGCAGTAATTTTCGTATTATTGAGAGGTAAGTAAACTGAGTTGGCCATGGAAAACAATATCTAGTGAGATAGGTACCTTTCATTTACGACGAAAATTGGGCAAGCCAATGTTACCTATCTTCATTTTCTACCAAATGAATTTCAAGATATGTAGGATGGGTTAGATTTGGAAAAACGACGTAATTTAAACTGGTTTCAACACAACGGTGCCCCGCTGCACAACTAACTGCAAGTTAAATATTATAATAGACAGTAATTAAGAGAACAAAAATGTTTCCCATGGCAAAATCTGTTCTTACTACTCTTAATAATACAAAAAGTTCTTTATCATGTTTATTGTCTAAGTAAGTACAATGAACCTTATACCATTGTAAACAGAAAAAAATGCACTTTTTAAAAATGTCACCGCCAACTATGATTACCATCTAAAAAAATGTAAGTTTGCGTTATAGCTAGAAAATTATAAAAGAAGAATAAATATTAATAAATGTATCTTATTAAGCGGAAACAAATATACAATTTTTGTTCTTTGCATATTTCTGTATTTCTAATACTAACGATTCTACAACAGTTAAATGAAAAATCTCTAAATCTGTTTTTCGCTCATATCTAGTAAACTGTGAATTTTAAAAAAAAAAACAAAAGCATATCTTGAATAAGCTCTTAAAACTACAACTCTTTCCTCATTTAACCGAATCCCTATGTCTTACGGTTTCCGAGATCCTAATGTTTAAAATGAAAAAAAAACTCACCCTGTTATGAGAATCCCATATGAAAACGCGATGACTTTATCTACCAATTAGGGTACTTCTCGGGACAGCACCGGGATCATTCCATGGCCTTACCCCCTCCATTTCCAAAAAATCGGTGACAATCCAAGTGAGTTAACTAAACAAAAATCATCAGAAGCAATAAAGGTGGAAGTATTTGACGCACCCTGTTTTCCATGGCAATGTGGTGTTGGTGGTGGTTTAATTAGGAACCCCAAGTGAAAACGTAGTGACATTTTCTGACAAATAGAAACCACTAAATTACCCCCCTGTATTATGTTCTAGAATGGTGTTGGCTATCTCCAATTTTAATTAGAAATCACACAAGAACGTTTGTACTTCTCGAACAGTATTGCGATTATTCTACGGCCTCTGTCTCAAAGATGTCGTTGACAATTGAAGTGGATTGACTCTAAAAAAATCCACCATCAGAGGTATAAGACGGATCCATGTATTTCGTTCCAAAAATATTTGCCAATCCTCTACTACCTTCCAAAATTAAGATTTACGTATGGGGGCGGTTTTTGATTTAATTATTCGCAAGACACTGGATGAGAGTACTGCATGCACCACTCTATCGTTCGTAAAAGTAATCAAAACTTACCCTGTCCACGTGGAAGAAACGCGCTTCATACTAACGAAATATGTACAACCGCACTCACTGGCGACTCATTCGCAAATGATTTTCGTTTAAGAATAAATAAAATTATAACCGCGATATAGATAAACAGATGCAGGTTACATCACCGCGTGCATCATTATCCTTGCATACAGGGTGACGCACCTTTCCTATTTCAACAAAAAACGACTTGCCTGATATCGAACGCAGAAAGACTTTTCTTGTAAGGACACGAACTTTCAAGATTGAACCACTACAACCGATTTCCAAAGAACAAGGAAACTTTTGATGTAGTGGTTCAAATTTTCTTGTATAGAGAAGCCAAACAGACCAAAGAAGTTTAAAATGAAAAAAAACTCACCCTGTCTAGATACTAAACGTACATAGAATTTCGTTATGCAGGCTTTGTTGAGAAATTTTCCTTCGTTAAATAAAGTTCATAATTCTAACTAAACTCTAAACAGTATCAAAATCATGTGAGATGCCACCGACTAGCTTTATTCTTTACAAAGTTTTTTACCTTTTTAAACGAATTTTTAATGGAAACCTCCCCTGAAATCTGAAATATGATTACAAAATTCCTCGATTTACTTGACAATAAAAACTGAACGTGTTACGTCTACTTTGGGGAAAAGGAACAATATTATATTGAGATAAGTACACGGTAAGCTTAGACAAAGTAGAGGTCGATTGAGACGAATTTCGGGGGTGAGGGGGGTGTGAATTACATTAATTTTTAGCCAAAATTTGAAGTTGAATTGATTTTTAGTAAAATGGGACCAGAGAAAATGTTAGATATCAAAACAGGCTTTCGCAGAAAACAACGGAGTTATAAGCTACAAGCAAATGTAATACGAAAACGACTATGTAATCAAACGTTAATCAAGGAGTTGACGGAATAAATAAAATTAGTTTTCGAACTTGCGACCTTTTTGAGCTCAATAAGCATGCTTTCTACCACTCTGTAACAGACAACAACACAAACTAACAAATAAAAGGGGTAGTGAATAACGACACATAAAATATTTTATAAGCAATGCTAACGTTTGACACGAAGGCTATGGGATATAAAAACTGTAATTAATACTCAATAAGAATCAATAATTCGAATGACTTCACACTAGTAAAAGCAAAATTTTGATCAACCACGGATTATCCTTACTATCGTCGAGATAGAAAAGCATAGACGTGACGTTAAATGCAAGAAAAGTCAATCAAAACTTACCCTGTCCACGTGGAAGAAACCGCGCTTCATACTAACGGAATATGTACAACCGCACTCACGGGCGACTCATTCGCAAATGATTTGCGTTTAAGAATAAATAAAAGTAAAACCGCGATATAGATAAACAGATGCAGGTTACATCACCGCGTGCATCATTATCCTTGCATACAGGGTGACCTTTTCTATTTCAACGAAAAACGACATGCCTGATATCGAACGCAGAAAGATTTTCTTATAAGGACAAGAACTTTTAAGATTGAACCACTACAACCGATTTCCAAAGCAAAAAGAAACTTTTGATGTAGTGGTTCAAATTTTCTTGTATAGAGAAGCCAAAAAGACCAAAGAGGTTTTTTCTCGGTCGATTTCGGACAAACCATTTTTTCGACAAAATGTATAGATCCAGAATTTTTAAGAATGGACGACAACAAAAGATATAGTCAAAAATCTCATTTCTTTTCACAAACTTTCAGTCGTCCGCTTCAGTGTAAGAGAAGAACTTACTATAAAAACACATGTCGAAAAGCTGACCTGTGTTTTTATTACGCCCAAATTTGAATTTACGTACTACGCTCAAAGCAATTAATGCGGCCATTATTCATAACTGTTAAATGTGAATAATTGAAGGAAAATTTGTAATATTTATGAAAATTCGCTCATAATTACGTAGCAGTAATCGAATGAAGGGGTTGTAAATTTTGTGGTAAGTCAAATAGATATATTTCCTTAATGAATTAAATTAAAAAGAACTACAAGCAACCCCTCATTTGCCAAGTATAAGTAAAATCTCGTCCCCTATTAGAAATTCGTATGTTTTATGAAAAAACCCTCCTACCTAAGTTGCAGTATTCGATTGAAGTGGTTGTAAATTTTGTGGTCGGTAAAATATTTATATTTCCTTAATGAATTAAATTAAAAAGATCTACAAGCAACCCTTCAGTTGCCAAGTATAAGTAAAATCTCGTCCCATAGAAATTAGTAAGTTTTATGAAAAAACGCTCCTACCTAAGTAGCAGTATTCGATTGAAGGGGTTGTAAATTATGTGGTGAGTCAAATATTTATATTTCCTTAATGAATTAAATTAAAAAGAACTACAAGCAACCCCTCATTTGCCAAGTATAAGTAAAATCTCGTCCCGTATTAGAAATTCGTAAGTTTTAAGAAAATTCGGTCCTACCTAAGTTGCAGTATTCGATTGAAGGGGTTGTAAATTTTGTGGTCGGTCAAATATTTATATTTCCTTAATGAATTAAATTAAAAAGAACTACAAGCAACCCCTCATTTGCCAAGTATAAGTAAAATCTCGTCCCCTATTAGAAATTCGTAAGTTTTAATGAAAATTCGCTCCTACCTAAGTTGCAGTATTCGATTGAAGGGGTTGTAAATTTTGTGGTAAGTCAAATAGTTATATTTCCTTAATGAATTAAATTAAAATGACTACAAGCAACCCTCAGGTGCCAAGTATAAGTAAAATCTCGTCCCGTATTTGAATTCGTAAGTTTTAATGCAAATTCGCTCCCACCTAGTTGCAGTATCGTTTGAAGGGGTTCTAAATTTTGTGGTAGGTCAAATATTTATATTTCCTTAATGAATTAAATTAAAAAGATCTAAAAGCAACCCTTCAGTTGCCAAGTATAAGTAAAATCTCGTCCCTATTAGAAATTCCTAAGTTTAAGAAAATTCGCTCCTACCTAGTTGCAGTTTCCTTGAAGGGTTGATTGAAGGGGTATGTAAATTTTGTGGTAAGCAATATCAAATAGTTATATTTCCTTAATGAATTAAATTAAAAAGAACTACAAGCAACCCTTCATTTGCCAAGTATATATAAGTAAGAAAATCGCTCGTACCTACGTTGCCTATTAGAAATTCGTTAGTTTTATGATAATTCGCTCCTACCTAAGTTGCAGTATTCGATTGAAGGGGTTGTAAATTATGTGGTGAGTCAAATATTTATATTTCCTTAATGAATTAAATTAAAAAGAACTACAAGCAACCCCTCATTTGCCAAGTATAAGTAAAATCTCGTCCCCTATTAGAAATTCGTATGTTTTATGAAAAAACGCTCCTACCTAAGTTACAGTATTCGATTGAAGGGGTTGTAAATTTTGTGGTAAGTCAAATAGTTATATTTCCTTAATGAATTAAATTAAAATGAACTACAAGCAACCCCTCATTTGCCAAGTATAAGTAAAATCTCGTCCCCTAGAAATTCGTAAGTATTTGTGAAAAAACGCTCCTACCTAAGTAGCAGTATTCGATTGAAGGGGTTGTAAATTTTGTGGTCGGTCAAATATTTATATTTCCTTAATGAATTAAATTAAAAAGATCTACAAGTAACCCCTCATTTGCCAAGTATAAGTAAAATCTCGTCCCCTAGAAATTCGTAAGTTTAATGAAAATTCGGTCCTACCTAAGTAGCAGTATTCGATTGAAGGGGTTGTAAATTTTGTGGTCGGTCCAATATTTATATTTCCTTAATGAATTAAATTAAAACTACAAGTAACCCTTCAGTTTCCAAGTATAAGTAAAATCTCGTCCCCTATTAGAAATTCGTAAGTTTAATGAAAATAAATTCAGTCCTACATAAGTTGCAGTATTCGATTGAAGGGGTTGTAAATTTTGTGGTCGGTCAAATATTTATATTTCCTTAATGAATTAAATTAAAAAGAACTACAAGCAACCCCTCATTTGCCAAGTATAAGTAAAATCTCGTCCCCTATTAGAAATTCGTATGTTTTATGAAAATTCCCTCCTACCTAAGTTGCAGTATTCGATTGAAGTGGTTGTAAATTTTGTGGTCGGTAAAATATTTATATTTCCTTAATGAATTAAATTAAAAAGATCTACAAGCAACCCTTCAGTTGCCAAGTATAAGTAAAATCTCGTCCCATAGAAATTAGTAAGTTTTATGAAAAAACGCTCCTACCTAAGTAGCAGTATTCGATTGAAGGGGTTGTAAATTATGTGGTGAGTCAAATATTTATATTTCCTTAATGAATTAAATTAAAAAGAACTACAAGCAACCCCTCATTTGCCAAGTATAGTAAAATCTCGTCCCCTATTAGAAATTCGTAAGTTTTATGAAAATTCGCTCCTACCTAAGTTGCAGTATTCGATTGAAGGGGTTGTAAATTTTGTGGTGAGTCAAATATTTATATTTCCTTAATGAATTAAATTAAAAAGACTACAAGCAACCCCTCATTTGCCAAGTATAAGTAAAATCTCGTCCCCTATTAGAAATTCGTAAGTTTTATGAAAATTCGGTCCCACCTAAGTTGCAGTATTCGATTGAAGGGGTTGTAAATTTTGTGGTGGTCAAATATTTATAATTCCTTAATGAATTAAATTAAAAAGAACTACAAGCAACCCCTCATTTCCCAAGTATCAGTAAAATCTCGTCCAGTATTACAAATTCGT